AACATTTTGATAAATGAATTGTTGAAACAGCAATAAAACTGTGGAAGAAGTTACGCACCAAAAAAATGTATGGAAGATGCCAAAAATACTCATGGAAACCATAAATCCAAAAGTAGAAAAAAGTTTATTTCTGCTTAGGGATGTGGGGCTTAAGAGGTTAATTTCTCATATTTTGAAGGTGTGCAAGGTTGTGACTTAAGCAAAGATGTTGCCCAATAGATGTCATACAAAGAGAAGTTAAGAATATGTTACAGGAAWATACCTCTGGGCCATAAAGCTCATCAATACAAAGACAAAAAAAAATATGTCTGAGAAATAAATGTAACTTTTGATGTAACTCTAGACAAATATGAACAAATATGAACATTGGATCTGCAAACAGAATTAGAATTTCTTAGAACYTCTTCACAAAAAATCCAAGTGGAAACACAAGTTGTGTGCAACGGCCACACAAAACTGCAGCTTTCTTTTTGGTTTCCTTTGGTGGTCTCTCTGGTAAACTGTTAGCATGTCGTCCAAGCCAAGCGTACAGAGTTGTATATAGCACTGAGGGTTTGTTCCCTCACAGAGCTGCTCCTGTATTTTTGGGCCCAAATCACTGACTCAGTAAAACCATGGGCAGCTGAAATTGAAGGTTGGAGATTGATTTTATTTAAAGTTTGCACATAAACTGAGAGTTTTGAGGCCCTTTTTTTTTGTGAGGGCCAGGGTTGTGCTTTGCTGCTTAGAGTGGGTGTTTATGTTGTTTACTCTGAGTCATAACGCAAACATATGAATTATCTCCGTTATGAGGCRCGGTTGTGCCCTCACAGAGGTCTCAGAAAAAAGTCTCAATCTACCTTATAAATGTGTTATTTTTAAAATCTTTAAATCATTTAAGAATTTAGAAAAATGTGAACGTGATCAGTGTACCAACAGGCGTTCTAGTTATTCTTGTTTTTTTTTTTTCAAAACTATAAATTAGATGTAACCAAAACAACCTGCTGTATGTAAAATCAGTATTTAAGTTTTAAACTAAAACATATTTTTAGACCAGGACAAAAGAGAAGGATTGTTGGGATGGTTGAGAGTTGGTCATCAAATAAGCCACAAATCTCACAGCCATGAGCACAGGTCTTCTGCTCCAGGCTAACTTCTTTTTGTTATTTTGCTTAGAAGCATAGTTTCTTTGAAATTATTTATTGGGGGGGCACAGTTTTTATTTTTCAGATTTTAAAGGGTCCCCCTTCCTGAAAATATATCAGTAACCACTAGTTTGATTATTCCATCAATCATGTAAAAAAGTACAGTAAAATGACTTGTATTTTCAAAAACAACTGACAAAAACTTTAGTTTTTCCAGTATTYCTATGTCATATTAACAAAATTGCTTTGTTATGGCTGTTACAAATTGTTTCTGTGTTATTTTATCACCCTGTGTTGTTTTAACAAATACATTTCATTCACATATTGTTTTTGTAAAAAATAACATTAAAAAATTGTTTGACAGTTCACAAAGGTTTACTGTGAATTAAACAAAACATTTATGCTTTCCAGTTTTCAGTATTTTTCTGTTATGATTTTACATAATTTTTATGTAAATTTCACGGCCATTTCTTACAGTGCAGTATATCACTAAAAGTCAGGCCTGTCTGTTGACAGCAGCTTTAAGTCCAATCTCACTGGGTGCTCATCTGTCGTCAGGTTTTAATGAAAGGTCCCCGCCTTCCCACCTGTTCTGCACTTTCCAGTGCCTCACAGATGTTTCTGTAGCTCGAGGGGACGTCACTCTGAGGCCCCCAGTATTTGCACATGTGGTGTTTGCAACACAGTCTGCCCTACTTTATTAACAAACATTTATACATAATTTTTTTCGGGTAGGGGGGCTTTTCCCTTCTGCAATAGTTACCACAGCAAACAATGGTTTTACAGCTGTTTTATGCCCAGTACCCCTCCTGACCCAACCTGAGTTTGAAAATGCGGTTGTTTTTTTTTCTCTTTTTCTCGGTTATGAGATGAAATGGTAAAATTTGGACCAACGTTGATGAAATAAATCTCTGAACGTACATCTACAACTGATTAACTGCAAAAAATGTCCATCTAACCAAGTCGTTCAATCTTATATCCAACCAGAGTCTAAGAA